CAAAGTCCAAGGTGTGTGAAGGATTAGGACATGCTCTAAGGATTTTGTGTGTTCCTGGACTCCAGGACAAAAGTATGACGGAAGTGACAGATTAAAAGAGGATAACATTTTGTTTAATCCAAAGTAGCCAATGGACAAGAGGTTTATTTATTTTAAAAGCACGCGTCTGAAGTGATGTAAAAGCCCACTTTTAAATACTGAGATCTATAAATCTCTGCAACAAAGTTTCAGAAAGTGTTGTGGGTTTTTTTGTTTTGTTATTTTTTTCCCCCAAACACAAAGAATCCAATAGATTGAACATGATACAATACAGATGTTAAAAGCCTACAACAGCAAAAGTGCCACTTCATTTCTGTGATCTACTTTTTGAGCAACTCCATGTTTGTTTAGTATAGACCTGTGGAATGACACAGAGGACAAGTATTTTTGGTAGACAGACAACCAAATCTGTTTCTTAGCATCTCACGTAGTGGCTCCTTTGTCTCCTGGATGAGTGGAACTCCACCAGTTTTTCCACTGACTTCCAAATTAATTGAAGTTTTGCTTATTAGACGATCTGGGCTATATACCCTGCTCTCTGAATACGGTAAGTGTATGTAATAAGAGCCACAAAGATTTAAAAAAAAATCTGGCACCACCGACATCTACTTCAAGCAGGTAAGATTGCTACTTCTGTATCCAGACATGGACTGCTTTATTGAACAGAATCCACTGCAGTCAACGGTCACTGAAGGCAAGCAAGGTGCAGTGAGTAGGTGCAATGCTGATAAAAAGTACAAGATACTGAGATTGGAACTTGTAGCTATAAAAAGGCAGCAAAAAGCCATTCTGTTCCAGTGTTTTAATCATACAGCAATAAAATGTAGAAATTCCAACTTCAAGGAAACAAAACCCATGTTCTTTTTGACTTAAGTATATGAGTTTCATCTGTTTGAGGCTTGTGGCTGATCCTCCCACAGTTGTTACACAGCCCTTATCTGTGTAAATAACAGTACCAGAATTGGGTCTATGACAGTTTTTAAAGACTGTTTCTTAATCTAATTAACTTCTACCCTTTGGAAAGAACCTGAATACTCTTGAGCCATATGAATCTGAAAAAAATTCAGCTAATATCATACAGGAAAATAGTGAGAAAGGATCCCAACCACAGACATGAAACCTTATGTCTTCTGACACGGGTAACTGCATTGACTGTTAACTTGAGTGATCCCGAAAATTCAGTGGACTGAAAAGACTAATACACTTTCAGTGATGCGAGAAATCAGAAGGACATTCATGCTTGGAAAGTACGTATTTTCTTGAAAATACATTTTAAAAATGACCAAATGCTAAATAAGAATTAATTCGTGGTACAATTACTTTTTTAAAACTCTTTCACCTTTCTTAGGGAAAGTGAGTAAGCATGTCAGGCCCACACACTGCTAAGGGCCATTCACTTCTTCCTGGTGTGCACTCTTGTGTGTCAGCACAGCCACCACAAATGAACTAGATGCCATTGCCAGTTTGATGGCATGGGAGCATCACTAAAGCATGCCTAAGTTTTTGGCATGAGGATGGAAGGATGAGGATGCTGTTCACAGTACCTTCTCCTCCAAAGCACTTTCCTTCTGAAAATACTACTTCTGTTGCAAGCAACAACTTCTACTCCAGGCTACAGAGATCCCACATAAATGCTCCTGAAAACTCAAGTGGTCTGGGAAACCACTGGCAGTCATACCAAGAAGCAAGTTAAGATACCCGTACAAAGGGCAGAATAAGAGAAAATGGCACTGGCATTTTCCTCAGGATGTCAATTCAAACCACTAGAAGGGTGGCTGGCTATACTGGCTGACTTGGTGGCTTGGAAATAACCACAGGTCAAATTCAGTTTGAAAACACTGTCCTGTTTTCACCCAAGTCAAAGGTACCCTATTGCCCTGCTGCTCAGATTGTTGCCGAAAGGGCAGACTCTAGCTCCCAGCATCAGTGAACAGCCTGCCAGGCTATAGCAACTACGCTAACACTATGGTAACTGCCTGACAAAGCATTTGATCAAAAACCCTGTATCAACCAAACAAACCCCCAAAACGGCAGTGCTATGAAATCAGCCACGAGGAACCAGAGAACGATCAGAATCCTCAGCTGCTGTCTCAGCAACTGAGAAGATATACAAAAAAAAGAGAATGGAAGAAAGCACGGTTTTCCTTTTATAGAGAAAACATCAGAATGGCAGCAAGAGTGTCAAGGTCTGTCCTGACTTTGCTGCAGATGCCAAGATGGGCAAGATGCAGCCTCCAAAGTAAACACACACAGGAAGGTCAAGTAAATTCTCCTAACAATGCTTCTCACCTTTGGGAGTACTCAACCCTATGTTCTTGAACAATGGTTTAACTCTTTAAGCAGAGTTAACTAACAAACGGTCAAATAGAAAACCTACCTCTGTGATACCCCTCATGTGATCCATTCCTGTGTGAATGCTCTATTTAAAAAGATGGAGGACTACTGACTTACACCAGGGTGAAAAAACTGCTCATAAGCCAGCCATGCAATGTGTTCAGACTCATGTTCTGGTATCTGGCCCTGTGCAGGGGCACCAACAGTCAAGAGCCTATGGGTCCACGGGTTCCTATTAGGCCACAGAGAAGCTTCAAGAGATGAACTTGA